TTCAATATGTGGATTACAAAGCCAGACCCGTGGCAACTTTAGTTTTTCGACAAAATTGTTAATTAGAAAACTTTGTCAGATAATTATAGATCCTAAGTTCTATTACAGAAATGGTAAAACACACTTTAAATTCAACTACACGACTGTCTTTATTTCTGAAGTTGCATTTTGGTTGTCATGACATGCTTGTGCATAAGGGAGCTGAACATTAGATGCACAACCACAGAGAATGTGTCTTTATTGATCTATTTAAGAGAAATTATACATCAGAATCACAGGGAGGAGCTGGAAGAATAAAAAATCAACTCTGAGATATATAACCTTGTTTAATATTGAGTTTTACCCCCAAGCTCCCAACAACATGTTCATTTAAATACAGTTAAACACAAGACGCGGCAGCTGACGTCGACATCGCTGTAAAGGACAGAAGAGCTGACGGGGGTCGAAGTGGGAAATGATTTGGCGTCCATCTGCTTCACAAGGACTTCCTGTGCGTGTGTGGTAGGGTCACTCTCTCTGGACGGGAAAAAAACAAAACAAAAAACTACTCAATACCAACAAATTACACAATCAGTGTCATCTAAGAAAGACAAAAGAGGACAGAAAACAGGACGGACTTGCCTCTGCAGTGAGCTATAGACAGGTTATTCATAAACGTCCTTCCTATTTGCGATGTACTGCATAATATCCCCAGGACTCATCAACTTCTCTCCATCTACATCTGGGATCTCAAAGCCTGCAGCAAAAACACAAAGTATAAAAAGGTCCCGTCAACACAATTGTCCTGAAAAAAGACACTGCAAAATGATGCCGGTGTGCACATGTGTTCTATCGACTGAACTGCATTTGTGGCACATTGAACATCACACACAGATAAACAAGGTGAAGAAAATTCACAACCATTAAAATATGAGCAAACAATATGTGTTTGAAAGCTATGAATTAAACAGCTGGCACTCCAAGTTTTGTTGTTTTTCTTGTCAGCTATCCATGACTGAAGAATTTCTCATAATCTTGTACTTCTTAAGCTAAATGAGCAATTTAAATAAATAAAAAAAAAATAGAAAGCAAAACAGAAAAGCTAATCCACAGAGCTGAAAACAGAGTAGTTTTTATTAACGACGAGCTGTCCCCCCCCACCCTGCTCAGTCTGCACTGGGAATGTTGCAGCTTTGATGAAGATCTAACTCTATAAGCACAGGGGAAAAACAATGTTTTTAATACAATATATCCTTCATTTCATAAGTGCTTGCTCATTAATTGCTGACTAATGGTTAAGAAATCTGTTTACAATTTGCATCCCTAATCTGTACCATCACAGTAATGACAGAAAGGGATGCAACTCTGTCAAATAACTAATAAATCAATTTCAAATTAGTTATCCAGTTAAACAAACCACACAAGTTTGTCTGCTGAAATATTGGATCGCTTCCTTGCTTTAAGTAAATATTGTCCTTGGACCTCAATTAACTATTTCAGCTCGTCACAGCTGGGACAAACAATGAAGTAAACACCAGCGGCATGCCGAGCAGCAGCCGTAAATTCCTCACGTGCCTCGTCATTCAGCAGAGATCCAACTACCTCAGATAGTCGAGGGGAAAATATCAGCCTAAGAGAACACATTATTTCAGATTTTACAAACTTCTCATGGGGACGATGATTGTCAGTGTACTGACTCCGCATTAACCTGCTCTTCACCTCGCTGACTCTACTTTAAGACAAACTGCAAGCTGCAAATTAACACATCAACATCTTATGACCACAAGGCATCAGATTCAAAACTGCTTCAGAATAGAAACAGGGAAACACTTTTTATATTACATTTCTTCCTACACAAGATCCATCATTCCTGTAGTTTTTAAGCAGCATCTTTGTGTTACATTCCGACCTCAGCATCTGACCTCATGTCTAAACCATTGATCTGTAACATTTTTCTTTGCAGTACACTTCAAACTTCTAGAAAACTAGTTGCTGCATAAAGAGGTTTGTGCACCGGTTCTTACCAAACTCATCTTCCATGGCCATGATGATCTCCACCTGGTCCAAGCTGTCCAAACCCAAATCTTTAATGAAGTGGGAAGATGCCTCCAGCTGCAGGACAGAAATGATTATTATAAATTATAATATAGTTTTACACAAAAAATGACAAGTCGAGTCATCCTGCAGCTCTGTGATTTAGTTCTGAAGAGGACACAGTCACTACGGCTTCTTGATTTAAATGGATATTCCACACAAACACTGAACAACTTTGAATAAATCATTACTGTGCATTAGCTGGATTGTTCGCCTAAAGAGAGAGAGAGAGAAAAAACAGCCATTTCTCTCCGAGTCTCTCACATACAAAGCTGCTACTGTGGTCTCAGGACAACATACAAGTTTGACAGCACATTTGGTAGAATAATATAGACAAGATCTAACCAATGTTATGCAAACAACCAATTGTTAAAATATCTGATACACATATTACACAAAATTGTTAAACTTCAAAGAATTAACATTAAAAACAACATGTAAATAAAACAATATCATTCATAAGATATTAAGTCACAGATGAGTCACATTTCATAATTCCATGTCTGACCCTTTCTTGATTGTTTTAGCTATTAACTGATGATAGTTTCTTGGCTAGGCTGTGCTCATTCTCACCTTCTCAGGGTTGATCTTGTCGTAGAGCTTGAGTACATACATGACGCGTTCACTGATGCCTTCTAGGGTGAGGGGGGGCAGGTCGCCATACTGTCGGCACAACACACCCACTGAGGGGATCTGAGGAGGGCAAAGAGGAAGGAGAATAAATCAGGTGACGAGTGGCGTGAGGCATAGAGAGCAAAGATGGTGTGATCACTGGGGCCTGAAGCTGTTTATGTTGCAGGTCAAACTGTTACAAACTCTAAACAGGCTGTGCTTCAAGACCGCATGAGAAGTACAGTTACAAAGATGTTTGAGCATCTGGAAGAGACTTTGGGTATGTTAGATAGACATGAACTATCACGAAATATTGCAATATACACATACCACTACAGACAGAGCATCAGAGCCAAACCAGTGCACTACAAAACAATTAAAAAATATGTCTTGACTAACCTGACAATCAGAAAAATGCTGAATATCAGAGCTGATAATTAGCTCTTAATCAGTTAAGTTTTACTTTGTCAGGTTCAAGTTAAACACTCATAACTGGAATAAGTTACTTCAAGTTGTAGATTGAGATCCAGTGAGGATGCTGTTTCTTAGTTAACTGCGTTCACATTCAAAACAAAGCTGAACATTGTTCTATTTTTCAGGCTTTTTATGTTTTTTTGAAGTGGAGAACATGGAATTTATTACTCTTTCTTAACATATACAGTCTCGTATCTTAATTAAATCTTCTATAAAATACAACTTTCCTTCTCAGTTTTTTAAAGTTATGTATACATGATGTGAATAATGCAGCATCACTCATAACCTGATGTAATCCTTACTGTAAGCAACAAGCCATTCAAACAAAGCATTTGAAGTTTTAATGCTTTTCACATCCTGCAACACTCTACACATGGATAGTTCTGCGCTGCGTCAATTCACAATTCCGTGCGTAACAGTCCATATAGCTGGACTTAATGCTAAGCCTGAATTCGCTGAATAGTGTTAGTTTAAGCTCTGACATGCAAGTGGCTGCAAACGGCAGGTCAGAGAGGCGCAAACACAAGTGTCAGTGAACGCACCAACTATGCTAACTAGCTAACTAGCAAACAGGAAAAAACATGGCAGTTCTGTCACCAAAACTTAACGTAACAGGTTTTTGTGAATTCCAACCAGAATATTCGACAAACAGACATTCATTCGTGTTAAAATAACCCGCTTCCATCCCACCATAAACTTCCAGCAGGCTGTGTTAGCCGCACGGTTGTGAAAGACATCGGTAGGTCACAGCTAGGCCACGGCTCTTCAATGTTACCGGAGACTCACCCGTCTCTGGCCGACCCACCGCGTCCTCCGGCTGTCTGCGGCGAACGAGAGGGGTCGGTGGAGGGCTGCTGTCGGGGCGGCAGCGGCTCTGACTGCAAGGGTACCGGAACACAGCCTCAGCGAGGGCCGGGCGAAGGAGCGGACACACTGCTGCAGGACACGGGCCGCCATGACTGAAAAAAGCTACTGGTAGCTGCAACCAGCATGTAAAGCGACGAAGAAGAGACGGGGTCAAGGGCTCCGTGAAGCGCATGCGTACAACACAAGCCGGGGTTTTATTTTGTATTTTGCAGTTTATTTGTGTGTTTTGTTTTGGGTTTTTTTTTTCGTTTTCTAAACATTTGTGTTGAAATCGCTTAATTGTAATTATTAAACTTGATAAATTAAAAAAAGAAAAAAAAAAAGAACTGGGACTCCAGCCAGGGAGGAGCAATCGATCATAGAATCCTTTTATGCCCTCGCTAAGTAACTGTCGGAGCAGAATGCTTTAAATCTGTAATACTTTATAACATTGTGTCAGTAATAGAACTTTAAAATAACAAACACAAATGGACTGTTTTATTTGTTTGATTTATTGTCGATGAGTTTGCACTCAATTCATACTGTCTGAAAACCCATTCCTTAGAATTGTTAAAAATTAATTAAAAAAAAATCTCCATCAAATCATCTATCCAGCCAGCCATTCATCCATCCATTCATCCATTATCTATACATCGCTTAATCCTCACTAGGGTCGTGGGGGGGCTGGAGTCTATCCCAGCCGCCTTAGGGTGAAGGCAGGTTCACCTGGACAGGTCACCAGTCTATCACAGGGCTACACTTAGAGACAGACAACCAAGCACACTTACATTCACATCTATGGGCAATTTAGAATCACCAATTAACTTCAACATGTTTTCAACATGCCTCTGCGAGGCAACAGCGCCATAGCGCCACCTTGCAGTCTTGTTAATAAAGTACATAGAGTCTGATCAGAATCATCTTTTTTTTCCTCTAACTTCATTTGTCTCACACAAAGCAATGCAAAACCATTTGAGGTAACCAACAAAAAAGTAAAAGCAGACACTTGTGTCACTGTGTTGTCAGATAAATAAATAAAAGTGGCGTTTTTGGAATCTTGAATTATTGGTGGCTCAGTCAACAAATCTTTGGATTTTAACTAAATAATTGCACATTTTCAAGTTATTTCACAGTAAAGTTTGTATAAAGTGTAGGATATTGTGCTCTCGCCAAAGTAAGGTCATCCCACTTTCTTTCTATGCTCAGCACATTTTCCACAATAATATCACATAAGGTACAGAACCAGATTTTCAGCTGTGTGCCTTGGAATTAGTCTTAATTGTTATCATTTACACAGCTATGTCTGTATGTAAAAATGTGCCTTGTGACAATAATGTTTGAGATCCATAGAGTCAAACCAGAGTTGTAAGTTTTAGCTACCAGCTAGAGTGAGATTGGTTTATCTTATAGGTCATTACTACGTATTTAAATGTTTAATGAGAGGTTTGTTTAATAGTTCTTTGGGTGATTGACCCTCTAAAATATGTAAGAAAAGACTTGCAGGTGCTAGTGAAGAGGGAAAGTTTACCCATAAATTTACATGACGTGATACCCAAAATAAATAAAAAAATACACCACTTAGTCCTCACTAGGGTCACAATGTCCCACACTTTATACTAATTTTACTCTGAAATAACTTGAAAATGTGCAGTAGGGCTGGAGCCTATCCCAGTTGACTTAGGGTGAAGGTCAGGTCGCCAGTCTATCGCAGGGCTACACTCCAAGCACACTCACATTCACACCTACGGACAATTTAGAATCACCAATTAACCTCAACATGTTTCTGGACTGTGTGGGAGGAAGCCCGAGAGAACCCACACTGTACGGGCAGAACACTAAAACTCCACACAGAAAGATCCCAGTGCCCCCACCGGGACGCGAACCAGCGACCTTCTTGCTGCAAATCAACATTGCTACCAACTGCGCCAACTTGCAGCCCCACCCAAAATAAATAACTAATGATATTCAGACTTAATCTGGTGTGTGGCCAATAAAAAAACAAAAAGACAGGAGAAACTCTATCCATGTTTGACCTAATGACACCTTATCAAACAGGACAAGGCTTTTCATCCACCTCCCCTAACCTCGTCTGTGTCTCATACTTTTTCTTTTTTTTTTTTTAAAAAAAAAAAGCTTTTTATATCCACAGCATTCCAGTATTGCATCAGTGAATTTGCAAGTAATGACAAACCCTGTAATTACTGTGCTCTCTCTGATGCTCACACAAAATGTGTGTCAGATGAGTGTGACGAGATTTATAAATTAAACAAGGAATCCAAGGACAAAGCCAAACATTTAATATATTTGTTGAAAATTCTGGTTTAACACAAGTACATGTGTACAGAATCATACATGAGCATCACTGAGCACTTTTATTAAACAGATAAGCAGCTTTGGAACAACAACATGTATATCATTCGATGCTTTCAGGTTTGTCCTGTGTGCTGTTGTCTGTCTTTGTGGTGCTTCCTTCTGCGCACGAACTCACATTCTGCTGTGTTTTCTCCTCCAGGCTCCTCTTAATACTCAGCTCTCTCCCAACCTCCTCCACACACGGAGCTCTGGCTGCTGTGATGTGGAGTTTCCCATCTGGATCCAGGTAGCAGGTGATGTCTTCAGGGTTCACGCCGTCAGGCAGGTTAAACTCTTGTCTGAACTCCTGGAGTCTGTAAGAGCGAAACCCATTCTCATCCTCCTGTTTCTTCTCTGTCTTCCCGCTGACTCTCAGCTTCCTGCCCACCTGCCTGACAGACAGCTCCTCAGGGGAAAAGTCTTGAGTGTCCAGCGTCACGCCAAAGTGCTCTCCATGTTTCTGCAGCTGGAAGGACACTGGATGCAGGGCTGCAGCGGTTTTAAAAGGCTCTGTCTCCTCCAGGATCTTGTGCTGAAGTTTCTCCATCAGCTCCACGTTGCTGCGCAGCTCCTTCAGGTTTCTCTGCAGGAGATCTTGGCAGAGCAGTGGTCTGACCTGTGGCCACAGCATGCGGACAGGCCAGTACACATCCATGAGAGGACTGATGGCAAACTGGAGTCCACGCGACAACAGCATCTTCAGTGTTTGTGGATGTGCTCTCTAGTTGGGAGATGAAACGCTGTGTGTGGCTTTCTGTTTCAGTGGTGGGACTGTCTCAGCTTTTATATTTGCACTGGAGGAGCTCCAGAGTCTTCAAGAACTTTCCTGTCGCTACCACAACAGTCCACTGGGTGCAGCTGTTGCACAGAAGTGTCGACATTACTGGACTGTTCCAGGAAGTTCAGGCAGAACTACAGATATATAAAAAAATATCTGTGAAAATGTATATTGATATCAGGTACTTATTGAAAATAAAAAATATCAGCATATTTCTTTTAAAAAAAGATTCTTTGTTATATTTTTTGAATTTTGAAACACAGGAAAACAATAAACAAAAAACATGCTGAAAGTGGGTCAACGGCCATGAAAACAATTTAAAACAATCTTAGAAATAATTTGATATATCAAAAATGTCACAAATATCTTCAGAAGTATTTAAGAGTCATGGAATTCAGAGATGGTCAAGCAGATATGTGATAATTTGAGATGAAGTGAGCCTCAGAAAGATAACATTGAAATTTGATATCACAGATAAAAACGGGTCAAGAAATTAGTGCTATCAAATCCTATTTCAGTGCCTTAGACGAACTCATTTGATTTGGAGAAGAGGATTTGAAAAAAAAAAAAAAGATTGTCGTAAACAGTGAACAGTCTGTTGTACACTCCGACCAGCCGGTGGCGCTGATGCTTCAGCTCTGTGTTTGCCAGCTGCCAATAAACCTGCAACAGAAGAAGAATCAGCAGCAGAAGCTGAGATCAGAGCAAAAACACATCGATGCTTTAGACAAAATTAGCGAATAATAATCACTGTCTGGGATATTTCACCGCATTTCCAGCCATGGAGTTGTCAGAAATTCTGTACAACAAAGCGGAGTATATTGAAACGGTAATGGGTTTGATTTTAAGGCTTTTTTTTTTTTTTTTTTTTTAAAGATAACGTAGCTATTGTGCTAACCGGTTAGCCAAAGCTGAACAGGGCGTTGGACGGTGGATAAATGGAATCATTGTTTGTGCTCAGTTCAGGTGGACAACAGGAACACAAATGCACTTTTAGGCGATAAATAACCACTGCTGTCGTTTTATTCCAGGCTTCTGGCAACAAAGTGAGCAGACAGTCAGTGCTGTGTGGGAGTCAGAACATCGTCCTCAATGGCAAAGTGAGGAACAAACACTGGCTGTCAGTTTGTAGTAACCACTGTGTTTTCTGTGTATAATGTTTTGCTGAGTTTGTGTGTGTGTGTGTGTGTGTGCCTATTCCAGACTATTGTCATGAATGACTGCATCATCAGGGGAGACCTGGCTAATGTCAGGGTGGGGAGACACTGTGTGGTGAAGAGCAGGAGTGTCATTCGACCACCGTTCAAGAAGTTCAGCAAAGGGTAAGTATCCCGGATATTCAGCTTAGAGCCAGTAATTTCAGCTTTATTGCTTTGATAAAGTGTCTTATATTTTAGGTGATGCTATCAAACAGTGTTTGCATATTGTACAGATAATATAGTCACTGAACATATATTCATAATCCGAACAGGAACTAAGTCTAAATGATTTAGGGAAAGTATCTAATTGGGATTTTTCTGACAGACTTTTTTTTTTTTTTTTTTAAATCAAGCTTCAGTTCCATATTTACTGTATGACACATTTAAAACATGTGATGTAGAAAACAAGGAGGACAGCATGAACTTGTAAAACCATTGTAATGACAGTTTAAACACTGGATCAAAATGCTGCATGATCTGGATCCTAAAGTGTAGCTTTTGTGATTTGCAAAAATGAGTCATCATTTAAAAGCTATTTGGAACAGGAATACATTTATGAGAAATTGCTATTTCCACAAAATATGACACAAGGACAAGAAATATTTTTGACATCTTCATTTGTCTCATTTTGTCAGTTTATTAGTGCAAAAACTCGGTTGATTGTTTCATAACACACAGAAAGAGTAGTAGATCCTCCATTGGTTGCTGCATGTACCTTCCATTCTCATTTCTCTTCCCACTGTTCTTTTTTCTCTTCAGAGTGGCATTCTTCCCGTTGCACATCGGAGACCACGTCTTTATTGAGGAGGACTGTGTGGTCAATGCGGCACAGATTGGTTCCTACGTCCACATTGGCAAGAACTGTGTTATAGTGAGTGAGATAACAGCACACGCACACAACCAAGCTCATCAGCAGAAAAAGGAAATCATGCTGAAAGAGATAAAACTGCTGCAGTGAGAAGAGGCAGAAACAGAATCTCCTATTGCCTGTGGTGAAACAGTCACATGTTTGTCATGTTCAGATGAACTGAACAGCAGCAGCTTCTCGCAGGCTTCTTTCAACAGACACTGGTAGAAGACTGTCAGCAACAAGAAATGAAACACAAAGAATTCCACTTTTTGTAGCTGTTGTGGTTCAAAAGTTAGGGCTTTGTCAAAGAAGTTTCTGCTTAATTACCATTAGCTAGTTATGTAGAAACAGAAGTATGGCGATTTCTTACGATGCTCATCTTTTGCTATTATTATTATGATTGGTGTTGTTTGCTTTTATTGACAGTGGTAGTAGAGATAAAGACATGAATGTTGGGAAGAGAGAGAGAGATATGACATCTAACAAATGTCTGGCAAATTAACTAGTAACCAGTAGGTCACTGAAGGAGCGACAAAACTGATTGTTTTTTATAGTATAAAACATGATAGTGATAGCTTTTAGTGAATGCAGAAGAAAAAAATGTCACATTGCAAGTATTCAAACATTATAGGATAGGTGACTAGATTAAACAAAAAAACAGCATATTTGGGCAACATTGTGCCATTTTAAAGTGGGAGATAAAAACATAGTGTGAAAAGTTTCTGGAGCAACTGGATGTGCATGATTGTTAGAATCAACAAGATATTCTTTTAACAACTGAAATTAAACTATATAAGATTACACATGTATAAATAAGCTCCATGATCTGTGGAAAAATACCATTTTGTGCGAGTTAATGGCCTCTCTTCGTATTTATAGAAATATTTAGGATGCTTCTCAAGTTCGGTTGTTCATAATGAAAATATCATGTAACTTTTCACTGAGATTGTTGGTACGGTTGGGATTTAATGCATAAGCTCCCAGCAGATTTCTTCCAAATCGTACATACATGTCCCAAATGTAACCAGATCTTTGAGAAGCACAATACTTCAATTCAGCTCAGTTTTCACTCAGTGCAAGGAAACTGTCATGAGCTTATTTTTTGAGAATAAATAAAAAACAAAAAGACTGTCTGAGGCATTTGTTGGCTCTGTGAGATGTTAAAGAACTTTTGTAGAGTAACATTATAGTAATTTTTCAAAATAAAAGTCTGTGCTTTTTAATGTTATATCTGCTCCTTAAATCTACACCTGAGCTCACTGCTACATTGTTCTAAAGAGCCTCCGCTCGTTGTCTTCTGTTCTATAATAAACAGAATCAAGAAAAGACTCAGAATCACTGGAAACCTGCGACTCAGTAGCTGATGTTTAACATGCCTTTGTTTGGGGTGTTGTGTGCAGGGTCGTCGTTGTGTGTTGAAGGACTGCTGCAAGATCTTAGACAACACCGTGCTTCCTCCGGAGACAGTGGTGCCTCCTTTCACCGTCTTCTCTGGATGCCCAGGTCAGCCATGCTCACACACTGAACCAGTATATATGTTAGTCTGTTTCAACTCTTCCTTCCAAGTTCTGTCACCTGTCATATCTCCAGCCTCATCTCTCTCGTACTCTCTCAGGCCTGTTTTCAGGAGAGCTCCCAGAGTGCACGCAGGACCTGATGATTGACGTAACCAAGAGCTACTACCAGAAGTTCCTGCCCCTCAGCCAGATCTGAGTCCCCACTACCAAACCTGCGTTTGTCCTGTGTTCAGTTGGAGGCTCTCATTAGACACAAACGGACTCTGGGAGCTCACCTTCTATTCTTCATCTCTCATAGGCCTTGAGTTTCACTGCCCGAGGAAAGACATCTGGTTTGAGCCCTTAAAATATTCTAGTCATTTAGTATAAGATATAGCTGCACAAAGCTACAGTGCAAGCTCTAAATTGCAGAGAGAATCCAGACATCCTGTAAGATCTCCTTTTTTTCCACACTACACAGTCTAAGAATCATGACGCAATTCTTTCCCTTACAAACACTTTCATATAGTCGGATGGCTTTCCTTGTCAGTGTGTCGGGAAGAAACTCAAGGAGTTCTATGTGGCTGCTGATAATCACAGTCTTTGCTCTGTGGCTCTCTGCCAGCAGCTACAGGTGAGGATGAAGAGGTGGAGGCACAATGAAGGATGTGGGAAGACAGCTTTGTAATGTTTCACACCCACGGACCAAACCGATAGCTACGGCAGTTCTTTGAGGATGTTGGCTTTCCATGTGCATCATTCATATTCGCGGTTCATTTATACGACAGAGTATCATACTCGATAAGAAAAGATATTCTGTCGGGTTTTGTTATTTTTATGTTGAACAGCGTGTGTTTGCTTTCTTCTTTGCTGGCTAAAATAAATTGTGATAGTATTTAATTTTGGGTGGTTTTATTACATGTTTCAGACAAACAATCACACCGTTAATGTCACGGTGTTGTCGCAGGAAAGACCTCGGTGCTTTGCCTCTGTCATTTTCTGAGCAAACAGTAGCCGACGTCTGAAATAGTGACGCATAAATAAATGTCAGTGCTTGAAAATACATGTCTCAAAAACTATATATGTTAATTACTACTGATACCACGCCTGAGCGATTAACAAAATAAACAAATTTGCTAATATAAAGGTTTCTTGTACTGCATAATTTAAGGACACGCATGCAGGTGACACAATGTTCCAACAAAGAAAGAAAAAATGCATGTAAATAATGCAAAATTCTAAAAATGTTGCTTTTAATAGGTGTTTTCTGAGCAAAGACATGCGATGTGCACTGTTGCTGCACCTCAGATGTGCATAGTGCGTTTTGCTAACACGAAGCTGCCTGTAAACGTAGCTTTTGTTCTTAGGAAAATTCCACAGGGCTCCTTAAACCTGGCAGCTTTAAAAGGTGCTCTGTGGACAAACATGCTGAATGCATTTACTTCCCCGCGCAACAGTTACAAAGACGCTTTCTCTTGAAGTGCTTTTTCATGAAGCTGTACTGAAATGGTTCTACTTTACGGAGGAACCAAGTCATTGATCTTTCTGCATTTTGTAGTCTGATGCATTATGAACAATTTGTTTTGCTGTATTTCGGCACCACCTAGCGGCAAGTAGCAGGATGTCTGAGTAAAATGCTGACCCTCATTTGTTTTATGTCGATACTGTTACGACTTCAGTGCCTCAGTTCAGAACCACAGCTCTGTTCTGTGACGGTGGAAAAATAACAAGCTGATGAGCACGTCTGTTTCATCAAACATCCTGAAATATGTCATGAGTTTTTTTTTTTTTTTTTTTTAACTACAGACCATCAACCTAACGGAATGGAAAAAGTACAATTATTTACCCATTTACTGCTCTTCATTTGTCAGGAATCTGGTATAATCACCCTAATTTAATAATAATAATAGTGGGCACCTATTTGCAGAGAAAAAAAAACATTTTCCTTGATTTGAAAGGTTAGTTTTGGTTCATTCGCTATCAGCTGATCATTCCAGATAACGTGACTCGACCTATTAAACTCTCAGTCCAAGAGTTTCAAATTGACAGAAAAAACACCAGACGTGCAGGACGTGTTAGCAGAGAACCCTTATGTATAAAATATTCAAATTCAGTTTTTCTTCTTTAATGAAACATAGTCCATCCAATTGCAATTCAATAGTTTTATTTCTTTTACAATGTGAACCACATATATCATACCAACAATTAAATGTTAAGTATATAGATTAGCCATTTATTATTTTTTTTAAACAAATAAGTATCAAGAAACAGCTGATAATAGTGTTGGCTCCAGACACATGTGGCATGAAATCAGCCTGTTGAAACAATATGGATGAAGGCCAAAACTGGCTCAGGGAAGAAATGAAAAAACACAACGTGCCCCCTCTTATTGTAACCAAGCTAATCGGCAGGGGATCAACTCGGCAGGTTGAAGAGCGGGATTGAAAAGACGGCGCAATCCTTCTCCCGGCCAACTTTTGAGTCAGACCTTTGGGGGGGGGGCGGGGGGAAAGTGTCCTTTGATTGGCTAAATTAAGTTAATTTGTCCCGTCAGCACACGCTTCACACCTTCCCTTTAACTGACAACAGAAACACCGGGCAGTTTTAGCTACTGGTTTGTAGCTAAATGCCCCATGTAGCTTCAGTCAAGTATGCTACCAATGCCAAAGTGGAGTGTTAGACACAAAACAGCGATTTAAGTGTCTGGAGAAGAAAACTGAAATATTCAAAACGCATTCCTCTGATTTAATGAAGGGCGTGTGGACAAGCTGACAGGTCAGTCCTCAGGATTCACTCCTCTGCAACCCTCTGTATTCTGCCATGAGCGCTCTGCAAAGTCGAGACCCAGAGACTGAACTGCAGTGGACTTGAAATGTGACTTTTGGGCAGAATTTTATTCAAGAAACATGGATGCTTCCTATGTTATATTATTATTCACTAAATAACTGTAATAACAGAAGCTACTCGCAGCATACATGACACTGTTTATTTTGCACCTGACATGGCTTCAACATGAACTGCTTATTGACCCTCGTTCACAACAACTATAGACTCTGCAGGCAAATCAAACCTCAGATTTTCATCAGTGTCATTCAGTGATTTCACTTCCAACCACTGAACAAACTCCCCAGGTGCAGATCTCAGCCTGCGTCTTTTGTCACTGATGGGCCTGCAATCACGTATGAATACGAAGGCCAAACTATAACGGAAAAAAAAAAAATGAAATCTGTGACCAAAATGTAACGGAAGTTAAAAACTGGCATGATTTAAACAGCTAAAGAGAACCCACTTTCCAGGCAATGAAAGGTGAGTGGGAGTAAACAAATCAACATAAGAAAAAGATGAGGGAGAAAGTAGGAAACATTAATATCTCGAGTCAGCTCCAGTGGGTATTATAAGTAGAACATTGAAGGTTTCATTCCCCAAACAGCTCACTGACAACTTACTGTCACTAATACAGCAGGGCATTACTGGAATTATTGAGAACTGGCTTCAAATCTAGACAACTCAATGTTTGTTTGTTTGTTTTTTTAAATAATTTACACTCGATTAGCTTCCTATGCTAAATGAAAGCATATTCCAGCAATAATTACACCCATCAACGAGCAAGGGTTTAGTTCCAATAACCTTTAAATACCCTAAAAAAGTCAAAAAAATTGGTACATTACTAGGTCACATTGCTGTACAGTTGCTAAATATACCCAATTTTCTGACTCGTGATGTCAGCGTCTCCTCCTCGACTCCCTCACTGAAGGATGGAAGGCAACAGCTATTTCAAGAATGAAACTAGCCCAAAGTTGCATCATTCTGTACCGAGTAAAAATCAAACCCATCCACATTTTGTTACTGCACACTCCCCTTTGCACATAAAGCAGTGTCCCAGCACCTCCAGTATCCAGTATCTTGTGTGCACTGGGTGACATGTTTGGTAGGTTTGTTAAGACACGCCTATAGTGTGATAACATCTGTGTGATTTATGCTTTCTCTACAGCACCAATTATCCCCCAATAAGTTAAATCATTTGTCAAACAGGGAAGGTCTCTGAGTCTCTGAATACTAGTAGAGCCCACACGCAGAAACACTTAGCAACATGGTCAAATACTTTCGAAGAGTTCCTGGAATCAGAGGTGTGTGTAAGAGCTCCTTTTCTAGTCGTATCAAGTGTTTTACGTTTTCTAAGCACCTAAGGTTGGGCCACACAACATATTTGTGTGGACCAACCACAAGCGGAGGGCTGGACGAGCTACAACTGGAATACAATGGAAGAGCCGATTTGTTTGCATGAGTTAGAGGTGAAAGCTAAGTGCAAAAATCCTTATTGCAACTCATCATAATCATCACACGACCACATAAAACAGCAGCTGCTTTCATAACAAGACTAGGGGTAAAGGTGGGGGGAGGGCATCGCAGTCAGCAAATGGGCTGTCTGAGAAGCTGTATACACAAATAAAAATTTCCTTTCCATTATCCTGAAAAACAACAAAAAAAAAAATTAAGTGGAAAAGAATGCAAAATAACTTGGCTATTGCTGCGGCAAACAGTGGCAACAAAGCTAGAATTTTAACACTGGTGGTTGAAGAACTCAAAACGAAAAAGGGTGACTGGCTGAAGTAAATCGAGCCATTGCTGAAGCAGAGTAGTTAGCAGAGAGAATGTCTGAATGTCCAAACATTAACAGCCTGCTATCGATAGTTAGATGCCGTCAACCTAGTAGTAGCCAGAGAAATGTGACTGGTTACAAGTGGCAGATGAGGCTGGGTGATGCCACACACGTATTCCTACTAGGCGATTTAGCTCCACCACTGACAGGCAACATCAAATAAGAGCTGCAATGATGAAGTAACAGAAAGAACAGGCGGGTTGTTTGACGCGGGGTGAGTCTCTGACAACGTTGGGTTCAACATTTGGCGAGCAACTCAATCCACTGAGTGAAACGATTTGATCATGGCCCTCACTTCCTTATTAAGGTGGTGGGTGAGGATGAGTGAGGTTAAGGGAGGGAAGGGCACAAATGTGTCAAAGATCAAGTGGCTTTTACTTGTCGAGCAGCACAGTGCATTTCCACCCCTTGAGAACGGTCTGCATCCCAGAAGTAGTTGGTGACTTTCTTCGTTGTCTCCTTTCCAGGGCAGTGATGTCTGAGGAATGTGTGATGTCGTCCAGACTTCCCAGTCACCCACCCAAGTGCACACATGCTCATTAAATGTTCTGATTGTAGATCAGTGATTTGTAGTACTAGTGTTGGGAAAGGAGACAAGGAATAGAATTCATTCAACTGAACAGACCGAACTGAGAGCCTTCAGTCCCTGTTTTTATTTTCAGCCCAGGCATCCGAATGTCTGTCTGTACATCTGCGCATCTGTCCGACATAAGCCCATCCATCCCCCTCTCCTAGCCTTGGCTTTGAAGGCTACTGCCCCACCCCTCACACATAGGCAGGCAGCAGATCAGATCATCCTGTTGCGTTTGTGCGTAGGGGAGTCTGTGATGACATCACTACACTGGGTGGAGTTTCGTTTTCTGGTTCCTCCCCCTCCAGCAGAGGCAGAGCCTGTAGAGTCCAGATGCAGTGCCATCTCCTCTGAAATGAAAGTGTTCAGGTCGACATCTTGGAGCCCGTTACGCCTGCTGCGGCACACCGGCCCAGAGCCGGAAGAACCACCTCCACTTGCACCACCTCCGTTACTGCTGCTCCCGCTCACATGTGTGGGAGAACCTGGAGCACCAGAGCGCACACTGATACTCGCCATGGCTCCGCTCAGACCTTCAGAAGTGGAAGAAGACAGGATAGAAGGGAGAGAGAAGAAAAAACAAAGAGCATTACTGGACAGAAAAATAAAACAGTTAAGCTAGCTACCTATTAAGAACCTTGATAACTGTTTAAAAATTATCCTTGATGAGCTTGCTGCTATATACAAGCAGTTGAATTTTAGCAGCGGTCTCTGTCATTTACAGCCTGCAGCAAGCTCGCATTAACCAATCAAATGTTGTTTTTTTCCCATAAAGTCCGAAATCCATTTTATTCTGCATTCAGCAAATTTTTTGTATCATTCTGTAGTAGGGGTGTAGGGTGCACAAATCATCAGCTCAGTATATACCTCTCACCACAACCTGTGCTAAACAATTTAGGACAAAGGTATGTTCCGTTGCACTACTAGTACTCACATCAATAGTGTATTTTGAGCGGACCAAGTGAATTGCTACTAACACAAGTGTGCATCGCATTTGTTGGGCTTTCAAATGACAACTGGTAGGTCAATGTAGCATTTACATAGTGGAGCAGAATAACCCAATGTATATCTTTCCATAAATGATCACAGGGCAAAAAAAACATTTTACATTGGCAAACTCGAAGCATGTAAGTATCTACCACTGGTGCAATTTACGGAAGGAAAAAGGTATATCACATTTCTCTGTCTCTAACTGGCTATGTACTATTAAAGTATGTGACTAGTAAAGAGTCCCTTGTGTTGGGGAAGGACAGCATGTAAACAGACCTCTGACAACATTTCACATTAGTCAAAGTCACTCATTCAGGCTCTGGTTTCACTCAGTTTCTGCCTCCATTTTGGGTTAACAGAGAGAACGGGAATCACAAGGCTTAAGCTTCTTCAGAATTGCATTGTTAAGACGTTTTTCTATAAAACAGTACCTGAAGAAAACATCTCACAAAAACACAAGTATTCAAGTACTTAGTAAACTTAGTATGATTATAATTACTACCATAGCAACAAAAACAAGTACATTTTGCTGTAGGATCACTGTTGGCTACAGTGCCTGTGACTTAACAAATGATGTGACAGGTGCAACATAAAATCACGCTGTAGTAAATCATTTAAACAACCTTTTTCTATCCCAGTACAGTGTGTACTGCTTCCCTGATGCGGCTTGTTTTTTTAATCCAACACATAAAGTCACACTAAATACCAGTTTAATGTTATTAAAACACCTAGCAAATGGTATGTGCTGCAGATAAGCTAAAAATACATGGATGCTCTACTCAATTTTTTTGAGTATTACAAAAAAATAAAAATAATCGGACTCTAATCACCTAAAAGAAACAAGGCCGCAGTGATTACAGTCGGAATTTTTACATATACTTTGTATAAATGTCAAAATGACGTCTTGAGTTGACACAAACATCAGTAGTGAAACACAAAAAGGTATCTGATGACTGAGAATGGAGACACACTGAAACCTCCTGACAGAGGCTTAACTTGCATTTCTGTAACCTAAACCATTAAATGCCAAACATGATCCAGTCTAACCTCAGGTACACCCTAAAATGGCCCCTTTAAATGTGTGAGTACTGAATATTCACTTGTGTTGACAGCACAACAGAAATGCTAACATACTCTCATGTAACTGGAATATAAATAGAAACCGTTGCATCTGCAGTTTTAAAAACCAAGTAGTTAAAAGACAATGCGGCTTCTGACTTAGTCATATGTTCTCTCTCACAAACACACACAGAGTAGGGGTTAACACAAGTGAGGCCCTCTTTCACCATTGGCCAATACTTGCACACCCGCGCACAACATACCCTTATCTCTGAGCAACATATGGCAGAGCACGATGACTGAAGGACAAGCACGCTATCACACACAGAAAGTCTCCCTCACATACTAATATACTGTAGTTTAGTGCTTAGACAACAAGAACTCAGTAGACTATCTCTGGATCTCACAGCCACTCTACTGTACATTCCAAAACCTCAAGTCTTTTAAATCTGTAGAATCACTAGATTCCACACACACTTTTAAAGAACCTATGGAACACTCTCAAGACTGGACAAACACAGCAAACAGATATGCAGCACAAGCAGCCTTCAGTACTGACCAGTAGCAACACAGATTTTATACCCATCAATCAAGCTGCCCCCTGGGTTGTAAATCACTTCTGATACTTTAGCAAGAATGCCCACTGGTGTGTGAGCTGTAAGACAGGTTGCACTTAGCCTTCCTTACCATGCAGTGCTATGGCCTCCCTGAAGGGCTGGAGGTCTGCTTCCACAGATGAGCCAGTCTCAGCTGGTGAATTAGCCCGGCTAGGGGCCACCATGGCCAGCCGAGGGTTGGCCCTGCTACTCCTGTGTGGCGGTGCTTTGCCACACAGAAAGCTGATAAGGTCCTCCCTACGGATGGTTCTTCGACGCTTTTTCACCCAGGCCAACATGTCCTACAATCCAGTGCAAGAGTTATACATCTATTAGTTAGCAAATATTTCATTTCATTACCAAACACTGATCCATTCTTTTGTACCCTTCATCACCCCCATTGTGCAAACCTAGTGTAGCCTGTAAGCAACTGTTTCCTAATACCAAACAAGTACGACAGGGAACAGGAACATAGGAACAAGACACACCTTATTACGACGCTGGTGGCCTATTTGGATGCCCCGATCAAAGCTTCTCTGATGGGCCTCCACACTCTCTGTGATGGTGGAAAACAACATTAGAATAAAAAACACTTATGTTTTCCAAAGCTGAGTAAATATGTATGGCATCTTTAACAGTATCTATATTTTAGCAAATCAAAATATCACAGTTTACAATGCATATACTTCATTCTGCGTATATTTATCAAAAACAAACATACAAAAAAAGGCATGTCACACGTCAACAACAAGTCTGCCAGGGTTCAGAATTACCACCGGGCAACTTCTGATGAAGATTTTAAACTCAAAATGATGATGTACATGTGACTGGCAAAACTGAACAAATACCTGCCATTGTTAGCAGTTGTGAATGTTTTAAAAAGCACATTTTCTAACCTGGTGCCAGCTACTAAGCACTCACTCGTACGACGATATAATCTAGAATGGAAACATCTGCCTATTTTGTGGGGGACCACAGTAAAATAAGACCAGTCCAATTTTGTCCACGCCACTTGAAAATATATTTGTTTCACTCTTTGAATATCTGACATTGTGCAGTCTGTTTTTTTTTTAACTTCATAATAAACATGTCTTTCACCTATATACAAAAACCTAAAATCCCTGACTGATCAATATTGAGCTGACAAGAGTGATAATGGCCAGATCTGTTTACCATTCGATGGACAATCCTGTCGATAAAACCATGTCTATATTCACAAGTACAATGACAGCCAGTGTCCATATTGATGGAATGAAATGCAAACACAAATGTAGGTTAAGTAGCTGGTTGATCAATAAATACTGCTCAGAAGCACAAGGACAGAGAGACTGGTTAGTTACCTTTGTAAAGGTTGGTGACTGCTGTAGCAGCATTCTGAAATGGCACCCACAATGACAGGCCTTGCTGGTGGCATACTCTGTCTGCGAGAGAAAGGAGAAAATACGTCTGGTTTATATAAATGACGAAAGACTGTAATTTTAAGGCAAGGACCCTTGGGATATGAAGATTAACGTGACCAAAGGACGAAGAGGGGTTGAAGTGAATTTCATATTCATTCGCCATTTTGTCTTGCATCTACAATTGCAGTGACAAGGTTTGGCATAAAAATAACTGTCAGCCAGCGCTAGATGGCCAGCTTGGCAGCAGCTTGTTTAGCAAGAGAGCACCGACACACGAACTTAACTGCCCTCTCAGCAGTAAAGTTGCAGAGCAGTGTCAAACATACATGCCAGACACAGATGGGCTTCACAAGTCGAACTCTGTCCATTTGCACTGGAATTTATTATGTCCTAGAAGTCCAAAGCGATAGCAGATTGTGGACAAACCAATAATTTCACAGCCAACCAATATTATCCTCGCCATCTTGTGATTATAACGCTTGCTAACGTTGCACTGCTCTCTCAGCAGAAACCGGGTGACAAAAAGCGAGTGTAAACTTGTGAGGCGTCGGTCTTAAATCTTTAAAGGACACTTCTTCAGCCAGCCGCGACCGATACAACAGATGTTAACACTGACAGAATACAAGAGACTGTCATCTGGGAATGTCGCGTAGCTACGATTGTTGTTACCTTCGCCATTTTGTAACTAGCCTGGCTAACGTTAGCTATCCGCCGCTGTGTAACTTAGTGTCAACAAGCTAGCTTATTGACAAAAGTACTCAAGTCACCGTAAGCTTCTTTAATGATGTCAGTTAGGCTAGCCATGGTTGTTCAGTGGTCAAAATAAACGTGGAAGGCCAGATTTGGGCTTGTAACTCATTTTTGTCACAGGCTAGCACCAGCTAGCTAAATTTAGCATTGCAAAATCACCTGTAAACGTTAGTTTCCCCGTACCGGCTAGCGACTTTGCTAACGGGCTAGTTAGCGTCCTGCCAATACTGACGGGAACATTAGTTCACAGTAACGCTCGGGACGTAGCAATGTTGCTAACAAACAAGCCAATGGTATAACGGCAAAGTAGGCGTCGTGAGACGAACAAGCAAACAGGGAGCGCTCGTTTCCACCTTTGTACAACTGTGCCACGGCAGTAGCGGAGTTCTGGAAGAGATGCCACAGTTTATCCTGGTCGTTGTCGGCCTCCTCCTCGCTTGGCTCCCTCTGCTCCGCTTCGGCCAAACACTGCCGCTCCCATTTTGAGAACCAGTGCTCGGGTCCGTGTTCCTGTATCTCCGCGTCTCCGTCTTCCTTCTTCTCCTCCATTTAATGCACCAAAAACTCGAGGGAAATTCGCGTTTAATGTTTAAAAGACGACTATATGAACACCGTATAAAGAGTTATATGAGAAAATCCATGAATACTGTCGCCGTTATTATTTTACTTCGCACTACAATGTTGCGTTGCCACCTATTCCTGCCATCTGTGAAGATAAGCCTAGCTAACTATTTTTCCTAGTTGCCGACGTCGGGATATATACAACACAGACAACCATGTTATGCGCTTTAGCCCGCCCATTACTGTAGATGCAAACACCAATTGGTCACATGAACACTGCAGGGTGGGCTCTAGGGCTGTGCTCGGAGCTTGATTGACTGTCTGACACGTCCGTCATCGCATTGACACAAAAGAACCTCAGTGAAAATTCCCCATTAAGCTTGCAAGAGAGTGCGAGTTTGGTCATGAAAAATGCGCTGTGAGCTATATGTACAGTTTAGGGCTGTGAAAAAAACAAACCAAAAAACATCCATCCATCCATCCATTATCTATACACCGCTTGGTCCTCACCAGGGTCGCGGGGAGCTGGAGCCTATCCCAGCTGACTTAGGGCGAAGGCAGGGGACACCCTGGACAGGTCGCCAGTCTATCGCAGGGCCACACTTAGAGACAGACAACCAAGCACACTCATATTTACAATATAAAATCACTAATTAACCTGAATATGTTTTTGGACCTTGTGGGAGGAAGCCGGAGAATCCAGAGAGAACCCACGCTGCACGGGAAGAACATACAAACTCCACGCAGAAAGATCTCGGTGCACCGGGACGCGAACCGACGACCTTCTTGCTGCGAGGCAACAATGCTAACCAACTGCTCCACCTTGCAGCCACAAAAAAATAAAAATAATAATAATAAAAAAAATTAGAAGCATCTTACATTATTTATTTATTTCTCATTAATATATTCATAACCGATTAAGGGTATATTGACTAATTTTAAAAGGAAAATTATATATTCATAATGTATGTATTTTTATTTTGCGGCCACAACAAAACCAGCCTGTAAACACCCATAAACACGAAGTTCATATATAATTCTTACTTATTCAGAGTATTCAGAGACAAGAGTTTTTGATATGACATCTAAAAACGCAGTAAGACGTAAAGTAAACGTAAAAAATAACGGCTCGGACAAAAATCTTAACTGTGGTCCGGGTGCAGGGCTGTGTTTATTCCACTGGATGGTGCCATGCCATCAAAACCCGAAGGCTCTGGTTTCAGCACTGCAGACATGGACCGCCAGCTGTGTCAGTAACACAACATAATGAGGACTGCCTTGATAAAGAAATAATTTATGACTGGATGGAGCAATGATAATGCACTGTGATAAAAAACTGCAAAAAAAAAAAAAAATCATTACAATATTGTAACCTTTTACTTTCAGTTATTTTCAAATATTTGTCTATATGTAGGTAACTAAATAGTAAAAATGGTTTAACGTCTAGAGTGGCTTTTAAAAAAACGCTTGTTTGCATTTTATTGATAATGAATATGGGAAAACATTTAAATTCATTAGCACAATTAAAACTTATCACATTCTCCATAATATTATGTTTAGTGAATTTGTAATAATCTAAACTAACAAGTGAATTTTTGTGATCACAATCACAAGCATTTTAAGTAATGCAGGCCCTGTAGTGACACCGCAGGAAAAAAAACACGAGGGTATGCAGGGCCTGGAAACTTTGGCTTTAGTCGGGACTATGTAGAGAGCCTCACAATAAAATCAGACTTAGAATAATTATTTAGATAAATTGCATTACAATATTTACATTACTTGTAATTACAAGATCAAGACAGAATATATAAGAAGTGAGTAAATCAAATAAATTGTTACTACAATAACTACATAACTACAATAAAACTTGATAATGATCTGTCATCAACAGATTTTAGGTCGCAGCATAGAAGGTATAGTGAAAGAGTGCTGCAGAATGTAAAAAGCCAACTGCATTGAATTCAAAATCCCACATTCATGTTTTACTTGAAAAATATGACCATACAGATAATGCTACCCATTTTGAAAGGAGGCATTTTCTTTTATTTAATAGGTAATATACGTTGTAAATACTTATAGGTTTCTCTATTATTATTACCATTATTATTATTATTATAATTATTATTATCATTGTTATTATTATTATTATTATCATTATCATTTTTAGTTTTTCACTTTGTTTGTTTAAAGGTCCTATCATGAAGTTAACAGTGTAATAATGATTATTAATTCAGCACTTCAGTTTGTTCCCACATTCACACCGCGTTTTTCAGCTCCAGTCATTGTAAATCAGTAGTTGGGGCCCGCTGCAACGCTTGGAGGCCGAGCCACCTATTGTCATTCCTATAATTCCCATTCGACTAATAATTGTTGTTAGTACTTATATTATATTTCTCCCATGTCTGATGCACACGCCCGCTCCATGTGAACCTGGCCGGGGATGGGCCCGTGTTTGGATCTCCATGCGGATGTGACATTTCAGAGAAGAGCGCGACCGCCATTTTGAGATTTACCTCAGACTCAACACATCACAAACCACGGGAGGAGCGGGTCGAGAGCCGCACAGCTCATGCTAACGTTGTATGACCGGGCACATTCCTCACAAGAAACGAGAGGTTAGCTGGAAATGCAACGAGGTGCCGCGTTTTGTCGTTTGTCGTGTTAGGGCCAGTTTGGAGGAATTGGTTTATGTCGGGCCGCGGCAACTCTTGTCTCCGTGAACTTCCAAATTAACGTTAGTGCTATTCCGTATTGGAAACTGGTTTGAATGGATAGCTTTTTCCTCCGCTCTCCCCCAGACGAGGGACAATCGGAGGAGCACACGGACTGGGGATATCGCAGGCAAAGTTGTTGAATGTGTGTCTATAGCAAATGAGCCTTTGTTTTCATTGTTGTACCTATATCACCATTTGGCTGCCTAGTGTCAGGTAGCTTAACGCTAGCTACAAACAGGGTATTTGTTCCTCAAGGTGCAAGTCGTGTTGCGAGTCCTCTTATTGCCCCACATTTCCCGGGGTAAAGCCGGATTGATTTAGCTAATTTCAGCTGGCCTCCGTCTTCGGAGCCCCAGTACATCCATCCCAACCCCCGCCGTCAGCCAGCGACTCGCACCCACCAAAGGCGCCGAGATTGGGCGAATAGCGAGCAAATACGTCCGCGTTTCTCTACCCGCTCCCCCGCCGACCTCCCCTCCTCACTCCCCGGCGCTGACAGCGGACAAGGCCGAGGTCGCAACAGAGCAGGCCCGGCCGCCGAGGCTCGACCTGTCCACCCCACCTCCGCATCCCACCACACCTCACCAGCAGTCCAGAACCCGGTTCCCCGCCGAGCCGACCCTGGACAGGATCGAGGGTAATAGAGATAGCAGGGAGCACCGCATCACAACCACAACAACAACAGCTGCCAACATGAACCACCACCACCACACGCAGCAGCAGCAGCAACAGAAAGCCGGCGAGCAGCAGCTCAGTGAACCAGAGGACATGGAGATGGAAGGTAAGGAAATGCCAAAGAAAGGCAAACGAATACTTTACAACATTTGTTACGTAATTTAACAGCTGCACGAGAAATGCACGGAGTTTTATTTGTGCAAGCTGAGCTCAACATCACAGTAAACATGAAGGCCTGAAGCTAGCTAGGATAGCCGGTTGCATTTTTGCTGATTGTGCGTCCGTTGCAGCATACTTGTGTGGAGCTGACCTCATTTTGCGTTATAAGCAAACGGAGCCTTTATTGCTCTTCGCATGAATACAATATCCCGCTGCTTTAAGACAACCCCGATGTCCTAACAATCCACACGGTTAGAGATTCGCCACAGAAATCATTCATTCAGATCGGTGACTGTATTTGAAAATGCACTGTTCAGTTTGGTTCGCGTTCCTTGCCATGCTAAGTTGTCCGCCGCCGTTCGCCAGATCATCGCCGTTTAGGATCCACATGCGGCCACAGAGTCCCAGACCGACTGATTGTTGATAACGTAAATGTTTGTAAACAGTACGGTTGTTAGCCTCGCAATTAACATGGATCCATCGCTAGGTAAATTACCGTACTCTTGCTACTTTGACTTAACTCCGGGGTTTGTGTTGATTTTGACAGTTATCGGTGCATGTGGTCATCATCAAAGTTAAGTCTTCCGCTAATAAATTAACGGTGGCTGTATTAGTCTTGCTGGTAACGTAAAATACAGCCCGTTGATAACTGGTCGACATACGCCAGCTTCTGAAAAGATGGTGTGTTAGCATCGTGTCTGACCACTTGTTCATTAAATGCGGGTCTGCAAAGTAAGCTAAACATATCGGTTGATCGCAGGGTGAAATCTGTCAGCTGGGCCGCTGAAAGTGTTGTCAGTAAATTTGACGTGTTAACATTTCCTTGTTAAAACGTCACCGATTGATATTTGTTTTATTACACAGTGTGGGCATTAAGCTTCTAAAACGCAGTGCTAGCAGGACGGCTAATTGTAAGCTATTCAATTAGCTCCAAGGTTCATCTTCTTACGTTCATTCGTTAGCTAGCATGCTAGTTAGCCGATCAGCTAATGCTCACGGAGGGGGTGTGTGGCGTTCCAAAATGGTGGCTTGTATTTTGCATAGTTCGATTTTGGCTATTACTCGAGTGTTAGGCCTTGGATATTTGCCTCGCGTAAATTAGTTTATTTCTCTTGTCCTTTAAATCTGCCCAACGATATCATGTACAAACTCATATTATTATTCATCTACCTTTAATCCTTGCTTGTTAGCTGGCACAGCGATTCAAGCTAATGTTGGCTAATAAAGGCCTGCGGATGATTCTGTAGCTAGTGTTTGCTAGGTAGCTAACGGGAACGCAGATGCGTCAATACCGATTTGCTAAAGTGCCTGTGGTATAACATGTTTAGCCATTCCCGTAGAAACAATGGCAATCTGAAACGCCCGAAGGAAATTATTCTGTGGTTTGGTGATACGTTAGTTTTCATGTTGGACAGTGTGTTATGTGAAACGTGTGGCAGTGCTGGCAAGTAACGGTAGTCGCCGCTGCGGTAAGCCAGGCCCGCACAGGGGCAGCGCGGGGATTTGCTGCTTCATTGTATGGAAGACCAAAAGGCATGGAGCTCGCCATTTTTAATGATCTGTGTTTTTGTTTGTTCGATTTGCAGTCAGGGCCATCTTTTAAGCGTG